ACAGCTTGTTCCCCATGGTTTGCAAAAATGTGCGACAAACACCGCCACAGAAGTAGGCAGAGTTCGGGTGCGAAATGAATTCCAAGAATAGCGCCCGGAACGGAGTCTCTCGGGATGGCTGTGCAGTAGGAGACGCAGGAGATTGAGGGCTCGACGCGCCTCTGTAGGAAGAACCTTGGTGCCGTCGTAATATCGGGCTGGCGTGGACACGGAGAGAGGGAGATTCGTCCATGAACAAGTACTTGAAACACGGCACGATACTCCTCACGACACCACACCACCTACGGCCCATTAGAGGTACGCATTAGAATGGGATTGAATTAATTACTATGCTCAGTGAATCGCTGTACATGCTGCTAAATTGCCATCCCCCCCTTTTTGTTTGCTAGCACACTCTTGTCCTCGTCAATATTCGTAAAATGGGACCTCCATGGACTGGGAAGAGAATTGTAACAGGAAGCTTGTGAGATGGACATGCCTCAATGGGCATGGAGAAAATTGGGAAACCAGAAACGACAAGAAAACAAAAAAAAAAAAAAAACAGGAAATGGGCCATCGGGCCATGGCAATGGAGCTGTGGCCGTTATCATGCTACTACCCAGAAGATAGCCGTCGCTCTTGGCTTGGTGGCAGCTCTGTTTCTACACAATTAAATAACCGTCTTTTTTGAGCTCTTGGAGCCAATTTACGTTGGATTCAGGGTTCGTATCCTGTATTTGCCAAGCGTGCTTCAGCATCCTGATGGCTGCGAAGATGTAGCCCCATGGGCAAATCTGCCAAATGGCAAACATGCGTTTCAAGGTCGATTCTCTGTGTCCAGCATCTCGGGTCTCCGCACCTGCGATGAACGTGGGCCATGAGGTGGCCTTGAAGTACGGGTCTTCATCATGGATCTGGCCGAGGTGGTAGAGTATGTCGTTCACGAAAATGTTGGCGTCGACGGGGTAAACGACGCGCACTACCGGCAATGCCCGGATGATATACAGACATACTGCCGAACGGTGCGCCGAGGCGACATGGAATCGACTTTTGATATCAGTCACGTCTGGCAGCTGTCGAAGCTGGTCCACCCATACATTAATGTCAAATGCATGCGCCTCAACAATGAGTGCGCGTGCTTGGTCTGCGGCCGCCAGGTCAAAGTCAGTGTAAGGGCCCTGGCATGAAAGTTGGGACGCGGAGAGGATGATTTTGAGAATCTCTGGCGGACACGAGAGATAACTGTTCACCTCTACTCGTTTCATTACTTCCAATAACTCGCTACCACATCGTGCTATGCGTGAGGCCATTGCTGTCTCTGCCAGAGTCGAGCCAAGAATGTGATATCTATGACAAGCACGGGTCGTCTTAGCATTTCTTTTTTCCCTACTAAAGGATTGGAGGGCGTCGGTAATGTCTTTGGACGCGCAGTGTTGAATACTCACATGAAGCAATCGGCAATGACACAATCACGCAATATTCGGGTTGAAGCATGTCTCGTGGGGTCCAAGGCCAACAATTCCAAGACGATGCTTGCTGCTTCAAGATGGGACCGCCAACCTTGAATTTTTTCAACTTCTTCTCCTTCTTTTTCAACCACAACTCTTGGTTCAAAGTCAATCAGGTCAAACTTGACAAAGAAATGCATAGCGGCCAGAGCCACCACGCTGCCCACCTCGCTGCGAGCAAGATTCAATGACCCCATGACTTGGCGAAGGTAGGCTATGGCTTTCTCCTTGGCCGTCAAAGCATGTATGAGTATTTGCCTAGATGAATCATCTCGCAGCCGTAACTGGGCAAGATAGTCGCCTGGATTAGTCAAACTCGTTGGGATGGAATTGGTGGGCCGAAACAAATTACAGCAGTGGATAGCGGACGTTGCGATGAGTACTTGAAGCAGCAGCGGATGTCTATTGGTCAGAGGGATAAGTTCTCGGAACGGATTGCTGTCTGAGTCTCTTGCCACCAAGTCTCGACAGACACGATCGTTGACTGGTGGTTTGGTTGCATTAGCGTCGCCTCGAACCAGGTCCCCGAGGAGTCAGGCGGATCAGAACAAAGGTTTGTGTGCCATGAGAGATGAGGGGATGTGACGAGTAGGAGAGTATCGCATGATACACGAGGGCATCGTAGACGAAAAACGGCGATGAGAGGTCACCGAAATGATAGTTGAAGGATATTGTAATGGCAATGGGGCAGACTGATAAGACAATACTATACTCGTTGTTACTCACAATGTGTAATATAGGCTCTTGAAGTACGATCAAGGTCTTGAAAGAGGGGATCCGTCAGGTTTCGACCACCCAAAAGGCCGGCCCTGATAGGCATGTCGACCTGATGGTCTGGATTCGGTGTGTTGGCAATGCACACGTCCTTGTCTGTGGCAGCCATTTCGCCTGGGCTGACTATATCTTTCCCCGACATGGCACCACGCAGGGCCAATGGCTGTTGCTGGTGGTGTCCGCGGAATACCCGTTCATCGTGAGCATGTTCGGCGTAGATGACTTGTACATCGTGAATCTGGTCAGGGTCCAGGCCTCCAGTTCCCGCAAGGGCCCAACCGACGGCGACATCTCCCCGCGTTCCCCCAGAGTCGGGAGGAACTTGAGGTTGAAATGCCCCAGTCTCGCCTGGCCGACGTCCAGAGGCCGGCGAGGGCCGTGGGTTTCCTTGAGAATCAATCGCCTGCGTCCAGACGAATACCTTTCCATAACCAAGACACTCTTGACCCGACAACGTGCATTTGTTGCATGTTGGCCACGAGCGATCACAGCGCAGGCGTCGGCGGCGACAGTTGTGACACGGCTTGGTGATTCTGATGTTGGGCATCCGCTGCTGCTGGGTGTACTGCTACCTCCGGAATCTCGGCCGGGCCTGGTTGCTATGAGGCGAAAGCAGAAATCACAACTCTGGCGAGGCGAACGAGCGAGTGGCCTGTGTATTCCTCCCAGCTGACTTCTTCAACCAGGGCCTTGATATTGGTGTTTGGCTTAGCCAGGATGATGCCGAAACCGTGGCGGGGGAAGGATTGGAAGGGCAGGTTCAGGCAGCAGGGCTGCAGTTCATTTGGTCTCGCAGGTCATGGCGATGGTAATGTCCGTCTAGAGTCAACGGGTTGGGAATCAACAAAGGATTTGTGTTGCCACTCTCTGCTTATTAACTGACGAGGTGTTAATGTCGTGGCGGCGGTGGGGGAGCAAACGAGTGGCTTCAACCATGTGAGCAGGCAGGAACGACCACGACCACGAGCACCAGAACGGCTAGGGCGAGGCCGCCATTCTAGCCATTGGTTTGGCCCACCGGAAAGTCCAATTCATCCAACCGCCTCAGGTGTCGGTAGAGTATCCCAGTGTCTGGCGAGACCTGCACCCGTGGTCTACATCTGGAACAAGGCCAAAAATGAAAAGGCAAAGTATATGCTCGAGCGCCGCCTGGGGAACATGAGAACCCAGTACTCCGTACCCTCGGGCAAGTGTGAGATCCTCAACTGTTCTATCCAACGGGCCCATCGAGGCGCTCGTACAGCGACAGATGGGGCCTCTTTTCGGTAACAACAAGGGAGTGGAGGCGTTGGGCCAACAAACAAAAAAATGTAAACGGGGGCCTCGATGCATGATTCGAGATGGTGAGCAAGTACGGAGTATGTAGTCAGAAGCCGGTCAAGTGTTCCTCTGCGGCTTTGCTCGTCTGCATCGCGAGGCCCCCAGTTCCCCGTGCCCAGCTCAGCGCTACGTACGCCCCTACTACACAGCGACCATCGCCACATCTTCGTAAAACAGTTTGTTCATTCTCGAGTTGGCATGGAGTATTTGCTTCTTTTTGCTCCGTGACCTCCCATGCGGTGGGGCTCGACCAGCGGGCTCGGATCAAAGCTGGGGATGTTGTCATGGGACCATGGGATGAACACTTACATACAACGGAAAGCTGCTCACGATATTTGCCAGGCTCACACCGCCGATACTGTACCCAGTGACTACATCCAATAAGCACTCTGGTGATAATGCTGCTATCCATGATAGCTGGCTCCTCTCCCCAACTGATATTGGTCTTTTGTGAACAGACAATGACCACCGACGAATAGGCCGTGGCACGCCAGGAGCCCCGGAGGAGGAATCTTCGTGCACGAGTCCTCTGTATTCAGACTCATCATGGCTTGTGGCTATGGCACGCTAATAACGGACGATTATACTCCGTACCGTAAGGCAGAGGTGTCTCTGATCATGATGCAGTACCCGTACATGACGGACAACATTGGGTGGATGCTGTAGTAATGAATTAGCACACGCTTGGCGATACATCAATATGCCGTATTACTAGATGGACCTATTGGCGCATCGGCGTCTCCCTTCTAGAAATTTCTCAGGACACGCGCCCCTGTCATCGGATGGAATCAGCAAGTCCGCGATTTGAAGGCTACGGAGCACATGGGCCGAAATTGTCCAAGTGGTCGCACCACATAAGGGGTTTCACAAGTAACGACGGGGATAGAAAAAAAACATGAAAGTGAAGTGGAGGAGGGTATGGAAGGGGAAGTGTTGGGAGTGGGTGAAAGCGGCCGCTCCCGGTGTGATCATTAGTAAGTAGTAAGTGGTGTTCGGTGTGAAGCATACCTCCGAGTGAGCTTGTGGAGCTCTAACCTTCATATTTTTACATAGGGGAAGAATTTTTATCAACAAAAGCCCCGTTGGCTCAGTGGTAAAGCGTGTCACTAGTAATGACAAGATCACTGGTTCGATTCCAGTACGGGGCATGTTGAATCTCATCTTTTTGGTGTCCGTTGTCTTTTTCTTTCCTCTTTGATTCTCAGACTGACTTTGGTTGGTTCTGTTCTTTTTTATGGTTTCAATGTCAATAGGGTGCTGTCCAAAAATGCTAGCGAACACATCGCATCAATGGGCAAAGGCGTTATCCCCGTCATACCAACGAATCCATCATCACCGTCTCATAATTCTTGTATTTGTTTGGATGGTCTATTCAAAATCCTTTTAGAGAGTAACCAACCACTCGCTCGCGATTTTATTCTAGAATCCCGTCGCTCGATTCCCATCTTTTCCCGGCATAGCAGTCACCTTCTCCTCGTCATATTCGTCATTCGTAGCATCATATGCAACTTGCAAATCATCAATCGCACCCCCAACCTCCAACCACTGGTCACTTGTTTCTGGTACCGGGGAGATTTTACAGAGACCCCAGTACGTCAAGGATGAAACAATGAAACCACAGAAGAAGTTGAGGTTGTATATGTATGTCGCCCCTTTTGGCACCTGTTGACCTACGGCGCCAGCGAATCCAACAACGTTCATGAGGATTCCGGCAATATATGCCGTGTAACCCCGCCAATTTACACCGAATGTGTAAAAATACGGGCCGGTCTTGCGTGCATCATAGAGTTCCTTGACGCTCAAATAGCCCTTCCTGACAATATAGTAGTCAGTGGACATGACGCCGGCAATAGAGCTAAGGAAAACGCTATATGCTGAAAGATAGGTGGTGAAGTTGTTGGCACTGGTAAGCAAGTTGTACGGACACATGGCTAAGCCAACAGCAGCACAGATATATCCACCACGCCGAATGTTAATATATCGAGGAAGCAGAGCTGTCATATCAGAACCCGCAGAGACTGAGTTGGCGGAGATGTTGGTACCAAGTTGCGCAACAGCGAATGCCAAGGAGATGACAAAAACACCGAATCGCTGCGCTGCGCCGCCATCATCTATAAAGTTACCCAACAGGCTTAAAGGGTTCCAGATAGGCTCATTATAGATGACACTAGACGATGACGACACGAAGATGCCGATCAAGGACGTAAAGGCAAATCCAAGCGGGATTGCAAATAACTGGGACCAGACAGCATCATTTGGCTTGCGAGCAAATCTCGTAAAGTCGCAGTCATTAACGATAAGAGTGGCAAAATTGGCGATTGACGACATGATGCCTTTGACCATTTCCCAAGCCAGGTCACCGCCGTGTATCGTGTTTGACTTTTTAACAATAGGACCGACCCCTCCAGCGCGCACAAGAGCCCAGATCAAAAAGGCAATGCCCGCTGGTGGGACGAAATACGCCTTGGCGGTAAACAAATGTCGAATCTTGTGGACGGGGAACCAGATGGCAGGGAGGGAGCAAAGCCAGAAAATAAAGAACGACACAAAGTCTGGCGTGCTTGACACGCCCGGTTCAAAAGGACCAGGCATCGTGGTGCGATCCCATGATTTCCAGATTGAACGAATCATAAGATACACACAGTTGCCTCCGATGTAGGCTTGGACTCCATACCAGATGCATGCTGCATAATATTTTCCGGTCAGTACGAGGCAGGCAGCATATATTGGGTCAGATGAAACTGTCAAGTCACACGACACTTACCCATGGCGGCACGGTTAAAGACTGGCCACAAACTACCCCATATGCCAAAGGATGCTCGATTCGCAACAGGAAAGCCAATGTGATACATGGCTCCAACACGACCATTCATCACTATGAAGCAGGCTGAAATCGAATAGCCAACCCAAACACAAATCCAGGCCTGCCACCAAGATAGCCCCCCAACAACCATTGACGACGAAATCATCCAGGTGTTGATGTTGTACGAATCAGCGATCCAGAATCCCACGTAATTCCAGGGACCCCACTGGCGACGAGCCTTCTCGACGGGTTTTAAGTCATGGTTGATAAGCTGTGCGAATTAGGGGGGCAAACAAGGTTAGATTCAACTACCGAGAGAGGAAGCATTCTGCTGCATACCATACGTTGGGACGACGTCAGCCCATCCTCAGACTCCACTGCGAGTCTATCCGCCATGCTCTTTAGCCGGTGAGACAGCGGCATGTTGCCTGGGGGTCAAAATCCAGAAGAGAAGAATTATTTGCAGCTTTCCTCCTTCTGATGGGTGGCTTGAAAGATGTAGCCAAGAGCAAATGGAGAAGGGGAGGCCTGGTTACTACTGGGGTCTCGCGATATGCAAAGAGGCGAGGACTAGTCGACGGAATGCAACTCTGCACTGAACTAGGCGGCCCAGGCCGTGAAAAGTCAAAAGAGATGTCGATTGTAGGTGCCGTCGAAATCGGTACGTCGGCAAACTGACAAGACGAGACGTCGGCAGTATTTCAGAGCGGCTGGATGGACAAGCACTGGCGGGCTGCATGTATGTATGCATGTGCGTCGGCATGTCTTATCAGCCAGACTAGTGGCGTTTACCCTATCTCTGCGTTTCGGACCGGTATCCGCGTCGGCACACGGCCAGAATTAGGTAGTTATCCCTTGACCACCAGATACATTGGTCCTGGCCTTGTCTGCTCCGTACTCCGTAGACCGGACCCGAGTTGCAGGGCGACGCCCTGTGTCTTGTCATCATTTGCGTGGGACACTTGTCAAGTTCCAGTTTCGGTGCCCGGTAGTGGGTTGAATGGCTCCCGAAATCGCAACCGCATGGGAGATAGCTGCCTACTAGCAGGTAAGGAGTAGGGATTGGACGAACTGAGCTTATCATGGCGCTGCCCTGCTCGTGATGGATATCTCCCAGGCGACGCCAATTTGAGCCTCCAGCCCTGCTTGGCATCCCACCCACCCCTATCTCGATTATCTTGCGTCTTGGTCCCTTGGCTAACAGCCCCCACGTTTTGGGGCTCTGGATTCTGCCGGGCGTGGACGCTAGCACATGGCTACGGAGAAAAGGATTACTCCATCTCATCGAGTCAACGCTGCCGAAGAACAAAAAACGGTCCGTGGCGGTGATTGGCCTACTGGAGGAGACCCTTTCTTCCGCCTCCAATGGGGGATCAGATTGAATTTGATCTCGCTATCGCATAATGACGTAGCTGCAGAAATATGCCATGATATGCAACTTGGTCGCGTGATATGACTCGCCCAAGACTGAGAGTCTGGTGAGATGAGAGAAGCATTCGACCACCGGCGGCGTTGATTTGACTCCAAAGAGGTGTATATTACCTCACAACCCATGCCGAGATAATGCGGCAAAGAATTCGCATATTGATTTGGATACAGCTGATTTCGAGGCGCACGGAGGATGTACAACAAAACCCCAGGGCATAGAACCCAAGATCCTACAATGATGATGCAATTGGGAGAAAACGAATACTGGTCGAGGTTAGGACAAGACCATGGTCCAGCTGGTTCAACGTGTGAAAGGCGCCGCGGCAGGTGCCGGGTAATAACTGCTATAACAGCTTCAGCCAGACCCAGTCGCATTTGATTGGTCCACATCCAACAGCGGGTCCAGTCTCGCCATCTCGCGCCTTCGGACTCGCAGCCAGGCGGGTGGCAGAAAACACCAAACACATTGACACCACTCATTTACACGGGCAGAGTGCTCGGTATTTTCTGCAGCCGCCTCGCAAACTCGTATACTCATCACCATGCGTCTCTTCTAGCCAGATTCGTGGCCGCCTATGGCCTCCCCGTCCTCGCTGAGTGAGTCCAAGCCGCAGGGCTGGGATAGCCCGCATGGGCTGGAGCTGGCTGTTTGCTGACAAGTCCCCATTCATGACACAGCCAAGACGCCATTCTCCGCGACCATGCGGCACAGGAGCAGTGAGGCCGAGCCATGGATGACGGCGAGCTGCTCCCCCGGGCACGGAGCGGCTACACTCCGAAGCATCAGGGAGCCAAGACCAGATAGCTCGTCGTTAACTATTGACGGACATTTGAGATACGTGGGGCTTCGTGTATTTGAACTCGGGAGGATCCCGCCACCACCATGAAGCAGCCTTATCGTGGCCCAAGACGAGAAGCAAAAGCATCTCCGTCCATCAACGGACCTGCCCACGTCCAAGTGAAACAAGCTTAATTCACTATCCGCTGGCCACGTCTTATTTTGGCCCCCTTGCTGGCCCCCAGCTGCTCTTTTGCATTTCGCACAATTGAACATTTATGATAGATATATAAATATATACATACGATCTCCTCTGTCGGCTTAACCCCCTTTGCCTCACAGGACAAGGCATTCTATAACTACAAGGTCAACTCTTTCGACCACAGAGGGTACAGCTTCTCACTACCAGCACCGAAGCAAAAACTTGTCACTAGTATAGCACAACAATGTCGAAACTTCATCCTCCTGGCGTCAAGACCATTGGTCCCGACACAAACTGTACGCTGGATAACTGTCCCGCCGAATGGAGCATCTACGGTTTCCGACCGTCGCTGGCTGCTAATGCCACCTTTCTCGGTCTGTTTATCCTGGTCGGCCTTGCCCATGGGTATCTCGGCTTCAGATGGAGAAGCTGGGGCTTCATGGGCGGAATGATTCTCGGATGCCTGAGTGAAGCCATTGGCTACGCCGGCCGCATCATGCTCTACAACAACCCCTTCTCCTTCGTCGGCTTCATGGTTCAAATCGGTAAGTCCTGCACAGGCCGGCGGCGCTTGTTTCGCAAACCAACTAACGGCCGGGAGTAGTCTGCCTCACCATCGCACCCGTCTTCTACACCGCCTCCATCTACGTCACCCTCTCCAAGACAATCATGTATTTCGCTCCGGACCTATCCCGCTTCAATCCGCAGCTGTTCTACTGGATCTTCATTCCCTTTGATGTCATCTGTCTTATTCTTCAGGCCGCTGGCGGCGCCATGTCGAGCAACTCTAACGGCGACGATCGGCTCGGCGTCAATGTCTCCATGGCCGGTCTGGCTCTGCAGGTCGTTGTCCTGACCGCCTTTGTCGTCTGCTTTGCCGACTACATGGTTCGATATGTGCGGTCTGGACGCACTAGAAGCTTTGGTTGGCGCCTCAACACCTTTTTCCTCGGCCTGGCCTCGTCTGTCCTTCTCATACTTGCCCGATGCGCATACCGTGTCGCCGAGTTGAAGGATGGGTACAATGGCAGCTTAATCCGCGAGGAAATTCCTTTCATCATCCTCGAGGGTGTTGTGATTGTGATTGCTGCCATTGCGTTGTGCTTCGGTCACCCTGGTCTCGTTTTTGGTCGGGATGAAGCCAGGAAGAACTCGCATGACTTTGAGGAGAGCGGTACCAGCACTCCTGAGCGAAAGTAAGGAGCTGTTTTGGTGTGAAAAAGCAGCATAATTTCCTTGGCTTGCCCCCTTCCTTTGGTCTACCTTTATCAGCGTGGGAAGTTTGGGCTCAAATACCGTCAGGAGTGGTTTAAAAGGGCGGATTATCCATGTCAATCATGAGAAGATGCAGTGGTTTAAACGGGTGCGGGATTTCTTTTCCTTTCCTTTTTGCTTTTTATAAAGGCCCCCATAGCTGCTCAGCAGCACGTGTTTTCTTGTTTTCCCTTTGCATAATGAGCATCATGCAATCGTGTACATTTACATGGCGGCTATGCCTTTGGCTATAGGCGGGGGTTTGGGCAGCTAGATACCGGTGGGATGGAACAGGAATCGCAAAAAATGATTCAATTATGCTTACACCTCGGACGGTGCTTCAAGTGGTCTGTTCTTTCTTCAAGGCTTTTAAAGTGGAATCCGTGCGTACATGCATAGATCTGTACCGTCCCTCCGGCCGCGGCGGCGCCACCCGGAGTAAGGCATGCTCGGGGCCCACTGCCGACGCTGGCCGGCCTAGTTATATCAAACGGGCCGGCAAGGAACGAGACTGTTCTTTGGCATGTTGGTTTTTCGGCATCAGGACTTGATCTGGAGGAATTCTACTGGAGGGAACTTATATGCTTGCATCCAATCTTCGTATATGCTGACTGGCACCATTTATTGGATGTCTCTCCATCGTTGACTCGCACGGCTTAATGCGGGGGACGGAGCAAACACAAGCAAGCACCTGCCAGTATTGTAAGAACTCCACATGATGGAGTCTCCCCCAGCCCTGGATCTTTCGACAGCCACCAATCATCAAGAGGCCATCTCGTCCCACCCAGCAATGTCCTCCCGCTAGTTACCAAGTCGAGGGGGGGGGAGAGACTTCGTCCAGCTTTTGGCGACATCCTCTTCCCGTCTTTTTCGTCCTTTCCCCCTCTCCCGTCCATGCCTCTGCGAGTTTCTGTCGTGCCCACGGCTTTGCTTCGTCGTTCGGTTACTCCTTACCAACCACGCGAGCTCGTTACCAAATCTCGAATCCCTTCGTTGCATAGCTTCTCGACAACCTCGCCCAACATGGCCCCGCCCAAGGCTGCGCTTGACTTTGTTGATTTTGTCAATGATTCTCCTACTCGTAGGTTCATTCTGCTGCACAGTGAATTGGAGGTTTGGGGGGTTGCTGGAGGGCAAATTGGTTGCTAACTTTTGCTCCCAGCCTACCATGCTACCCAGTGCGCCGCCGAACGATTCGAAGAAGCGGGCTTCAAACTGATCCGTGAGCGCGATTCATGGAGCACGACCGTCCAACCCGGTGGCAAGTACTACCTGACCCGCAATGGCTCGTCCATCGTGGCCTTTGCCGTCGGTCGCAAGTGGCGCCCTGGAAACCCAGTAGGCATTATCGGTGCGCATACCGATTCTTGCTGCTTGCGCCTCAAGCCCGTCTCCAAGAAGAGCAACGTCGGTTATCTCCAGATCGGTGTCGAGGCATATGGTGGCGGCATCTGGCACTCGTGGTTCGACCGTGATTTGAGTATCGCTGGCCGAGTCCTGGTCCAGGAGGGAGACAATTTCGTACAGAAGCTCATCAAGATTGACAAGCCCTTGCTGCGCATTCCCACTCTGGCCATTCACCTTGACCGAGAGCCCAAGTTTGACCCTAACAAGGAGACTGAGCTGTTCCCCATTGCCGGCCTGGCTGAGGCCGAGCTAAACAAGAGCTCCGATGACGGTGCACCCGCGGAAACCGACAAGGACGAGAACTTCAGGCCCCTCAAGAACATGGCCGAGCGCCACCACCCCGCTGTCCTCGACGTTATTGCCAGCGAGCTCAACGCCAATGTCAGTGACATTATCGACTTTGAGTTGGTTCTCTATGATACCCAGAAATCTTGCATTGGAGGTCTGAAGGACGAGCTCATTTTCTCCCCCCGCCTGGACAACCTAGGCATGACTTACTGCTCTGTCATGGGTCTCATCTCCTCCGTTAGTGACGACAAGTCTCTGGACGATGACTCGACTATCCGCATGACGGCCTGCTTCGATCACGAAGAAATCGGCTCCCAGTCCGCGCAGGGCGCCCATTCCAACTTGCTGCCGGCCGTTATCCGGCGTCTTTCCTTGCTACCCAACGGCCGAGATAGCTCCAGCGACGGCAGCTACGAGGCTGTGCACCACGAGGGAGAGGATACCACCGCCTATGAGCAGACTCTGTCCCGATCATTCCTCATTTCTGCCGACATGGCTCACGCCGTTCACCCCAACTACGCTGGCAAGTACGAGTCCTCGCACCAGCCTGCCATGAACAAGGGCACTGTGATTAAAATCAACGCAAACCAACGGTATGCCACCAACTCACCTGGCATCGTCCTGGTCCAGGAGTGTGCTCGGCTGGCCGGCGTGCCTCTCCAGCTTTTCGTTGTGCGAAACGACTCTCCATGCGGCAGCACTATTGGACCCGGCCTGGCGGCCAGGATGGGTATGCGGACCCTCGACCTGGGTAACCCGCAGCTGAGCATGCACAGTATCCGCGAGACGGGTGGTGCTGCCGATGTCGAGTTTGCTGTAAAGTTGTTTGAAGCCTTCTTCACCAGCTACGGGCGTCTGGAGCCCAGGATTCTGGTGGACTAGATTTGTGTCGAGGATATATAGATAGCATTGGCCAGCGGGCGAGTGGAGTCAAGGTGGTGAAAGAAGGTGAAGAAGCCGTTTTACGCGCACATCTTGTAATGGGATAGTAGGACATGACGATTTTCCAAATGACCCCACATGAGTAAGACGATTATGTCTCCTCACGCCCTGCGCTTGACGAAATGTTTTTTGTTTTGTTTTCTGTGGTCTGTCCATGCTCCACATGTATTGAGATGTCTGGTACTACTACACCAGTAGATTCTGTAAATGCCATCAAGTCGTATCCCTTGCCGTCCCTATGCGCCGTACACCAACCCAGTGTCTGAACCAGCTAGTCCAATGCAGTTTTCCCCCCATAACACGTGCCCTGCCCTGCCCTGCCCTGCCCAAAAAAAAAAACAAAGAAAGAAACCAAACGCGCAGCAAAGGGTCTATACTCGCCTGCTCTCGCCCTCCTCCCATGCCAAGCAAAAGCCCTGAAAAGAACAAACGTCGACGCGTCATGACTGGCTCCTCGCCAGGCTGAGAAGGCCGCTCGCAGCGCCCTTTGACAGGGTACTACTCGGACCAGGCGACGCGGTGCCCGGCTCGCCAGCAGCGGCGGAGGCCGAGGCGTGGGCGTGTTTCCGAGACGGCAGCGGCGGCGGTGACTGCACGCGGACCGTCTTCCGGGGCAGCGGCTTCCGCTCGAGGTCGGCCAAGGGCACGGTGGTCTGCCCCGTGCGGACCTTGTAGCTCGCGAGGCCGAGGCGCAGGCGCAGAATCGCTGCTTTCTAACAAGATAGGAAGGAAAGGGTCCTGGTTAGTTCTCCATCTTTGGCTGGGTTGTGACTTGTGCCGTCTCGGCAAGGCAAGGGCGCGCTCTCTCACCTCTCTTGCTTGCTCGCGCGTCATGGTGCCCCTCTGCCGGGGCGCGAGGAGGGCCGGCGCGTCGGCGACGATGCCTACGTCGGGCTCGGTGGCGGCCGTGGCCCACGAGGAGTCGCCTTCTGCGGCGGAGGTGTCGAAGAGGGAGGGCGAGTCGGGGGAGCTTGTTCTCGAGCGGCGCGCGTCCTGGGCCCGTTTGTTTAGCATTCTGGCTTGGCTTGGGAGGAAAGGAGAGGGGAGGGGGACACGTACCTCTTCTACGCACGTCTTCTTGCGGCCGGGCGGCGTCAGTTCCTCGGCGGGCCGCTTGGTGCCGCTGGTGGTGGTGGTGGTGGTGAGGGAGGAGGAGAGGCTCTTCTTCAGAGGGGACGAGCCGCCGGTGAGGGGGATGACGGAGACGCTGCCGTCTTTGGGCATTTTGGGAGACGGCAGGGACGGCCTTGCGTTCGCGTCGAGGGGTGCCAGGGCGGCGCGTTGCTTTGCGGGAGAGCCGTGCATGGTGGTCGTGTTGATGGTTGGTGTACAAGAGGCGTAGGAAGACGAGCACGGCGTGTTCGAGGGTGGGGGAGTGAGAGCCGCGCTCCGGGAGAGGCAAACAAAGCCAATTGGAGTTGGGAGGGACGGGCCGTTGGGGGAGAGGAAGAGTTCAGCCCTGGTGTGTCGAGGGAAAAGAGGCAGGAGCAGGTGAGGGCGTGAGGAAGACGGGTCGTGTAGGAAAGGCAAAGGCAGCTCGAGACGGCGTGGTGTTGTATGCGTAGACCGGGCTGGAGGTAGTGCCCTGTGGACTCTGGAGCAAAGGCGCCCAACAGGGAGCCCACATGCCGTCAACTCGCGGCCGCCGCCGCTGGCCCCGGTCATATCAGTCACGTCGAGTCGCGCGAACCACGACCAGGGCCCGGGGTCCTTGGGAATTGATTGGGACTTGTATATTTTATTTTTATTTTTCAAGAAAAGCAGGGGGAGATATCTCAATTGGCCATTTTGATACAGCCTCACATGGTTGATTTTGTTATTTCTTCAGTTTGACGTGTCTATTGCTCGAGGGAGGAACTTGACGCGGTTCTCTCTCGTCGGGCCCCCCACACGCGAGCCAGCGTCTTGTCAATGTCTTGTACTCCGTAGACGAACCGAGAATAAAACAAAAGGCGAGTGTTTGTCTCTTTACAAGACCCTTCTTGTTGTGTTTTGCAGGCAGCCTGGCGCGCTGCTCATTACCATGCTACGACTGTTACCCTCTTTTTTTTTTTTGACTTCATTTCACCTACCCAGGTAGTTTAATAGTAGGTTGCATTGCAAGCAAAGGGAGTTGGGATGGGAACGGTTGGACCCTTGTTCTGATGTCATGCCTGATTTGTTGTAGCGCGTGGGAGGTGGTGGTGGCCGCGGCGCGGTGCGAGGGGATCCCCGGCTGCAGGACGGAGATGGTGTGTTCATGCCGTTTTATTGTGTGTTTATTTTGTTTCGGCCGGCTGGGGAATTTATAATTTTTGCATTGCATGGGTTCTAATCTGTGGACGTCGTCATCTCCCGGCTGATGCTGGGGGCGGGCGGGGAGTCTGACGTCGCGTGTTTCATGCGCATGTGCATGCTGATGGGCAAATGCCAAGCTACAGTCTGTCGCAGGATATATTTGCCGATTGGCAAGTGTAAACTAATCTACCATGATATATTGTGGTCTGGTGAGATGGAGTCTGTGAGGTTAGCTAGAACGTTGAGCTGCGAGGAAGGTCTGGTGCCTCCAACCCTCAACACCAAAAAGGCAGCATCGCGACGATCCACAAAAATACACCCCAATATTGATTTTTTTGACTATCTTGTCATGATATTACTTCAAGGCCTCTCAAACAAACCAATGGTAGGATAGCTTTTCGCAACATCTATGACCTGTATTCATAGCAGCGAAGCAGCCTGACCAGCCTTGCACAAAACGATGGAAGCAGGCCACAGCGCCAAGTCACCACATTGTCAGTCACAGCAAGAATCTACAAAGACACAAGAGCATGTGTTGAACCCAATTTTTATTGTCGAGTGCTGAAACTTCCAAGCAAAAGTGTGAATCCGAAATCCAAAACGTCCAAACAAAAGGGGTATCCAAGCCAAGTTCCCATTCCCAAAGATCCCAAGCGCCAAATGCCGTGCCCAAAAAAAAACCAAGAATGCCATGTACTTTTTGTACTGGACTGAAGAGTGCGGGGAAAAAAAAGCAAAGGGCCAATGACGGAAGCAAAATGCTGAAAAAAAAACCGCCAAGTTCCCATTTCCAAACATCTCCTCCGCCCAAAGACCAACCCAGAATGCCATGTACTTTTTGTACTGGACTGAAGAATGCGGGGAAAAAAAGCAAAGTGCCAATGACGGAAGCAAAATGCTGAAAAAAAACCGCCCAAGTTCCCATTCCCAAACACGTCCTCCGCCAAACGTCCCTTGTCCAAAACAAAAATCCTCCACTCGAATACCAAATAAAGATTGCCAGTGTACTTGTTGCACTGGGCTTGAGAGAGGGTGCGGGAGGAAGAAGCCCCCGCACAAAGGAACCACAAAAAGTTCAATTCGCCGACGGTGCGTCGTCGCCATCGTTGTCGTTGTCGTTGTCGTCCTTGTCCTTGTCCTCTTTGTCTCGAGCAACTCCCTCATGCCAGATAGCCATTGGAGGAAGGAGGAGCGGGAAGTTGACTGGGGTCCTGAGACCCGGACGAGCAGCTCGTAGTTCGTCGAACGGGTCGACGACTACTACTTCGTCATCTCCTTGGGCTTCCTCCTCCTCCTCGGCGTCCATCTGGCGGAAGGCTTGGAGCATGGCCGCTTCAACGTCTCCTATAGGAGGAGTCGGTTGCTGTGGTTGTTGTTGTTGTTGTTGTGGCTGCTGCTGCTGCTGAGGCTGAGGTAGAGGCTGAGGCTGAGGCGGCTGAGGCGACTGAGGCTGCTGTGGCTGCTGCTCTGGCTGCTGTGGCGTTTGCGGCTCCGGCTGCTGTGGCGCTGGAGTCCGCGACTGTGAAGTTGCTCGCCGTGACTGCCGTGGCTTCCTTGGCTGCCGAGCCCTTTGTGGTCGTGGTCGTGGTCGTGGTTGCTGTTGCTGTTGCTGTTGCGGTTGCGGTTGGGGTTGCGGCTGCAGCTGTGATGGTGGTGGTGGTGCCTGCAGCCCCTGTAGTGGTGGTTGTGGCCACTGTGGTGGCTGTTGTGGCCACTGTGGGGGCTGCGAGTACCCCTGATAAGCCTGCATTGGCTGCATTGGCTGCACCGGGTATTGTGGCTGTATCGGGACCTGTGGCTGTACCGGTAGCTGTGGCCGCATCGGGAATTGTGGCAGCCCGGGATATTGTGGCTGCACCGGGTACTGTGGATGCTGTAATGCCGGGTGCGGTGCCGGGTTCGGTCCCGGGTATGGTGCCGGGCATGATGGCTGCTGCACCTGGAAGTGGTAGTTCGGCCACCCCTGGTGCTGCGGCTGCGGCTGCTGATGCTGCTGCTGCTGTGGCAGGAATGCCGGCAGTGCTGGTGGCTGCCGCGGCTGCCAAAACGCCTGCGAGTTCGGGCTGCCGTGCAGCCAGGCCTGTTGTCGCTGCTGCTCCTGCTCGCACATCCGCTGCAACTGTTGTTGTTGCAGATGCATTTGCTGCATCTGTTGTTGTTGTTGCAGTTGTTGCAGATGCTGCTGCTGTTGTCGCTGTTGTTGTTGTTGCTGCAGCTGTTGTTGCTCGACAAAGATGACGTCGTCATCGGGCAACGGCTGCACTTGCCCCCCAGCGCTGTACAGGTTCTGGCCTTCGACGAGGCCGTTGTTCCCCTGAACTTGCTGGTCCTGGGCGGGCTGGAAGGCCACAAAGCTCATGTCAAAGTTGTTGCTCATGTTGCTTGTTTGAAGGCCTTGTATGTAATAAAAAAAGAAAATAAAAAAAGAGGGCTATAGAGGAGGGTTTTGTGTGTAAAAGAGGTTTTTAGAAGAGGGTCTTGTGTGAAAAAGAGGTTTGTAGAAGGGGGGCTTGCGTGTAAAAGAGGGTTGTAGAAGAGGGTATTGTGTGTAAAAAGAGCTTTGCAGAAATGCTTGCTGTGTACAAGAGATATCTCGAGATGGATCAAAGGTAGCTTGATAACGGAGCAGCCAGCAGTAGAAGTGTGAACGAAGTGGACAGTTCTGATGGGACGATTTGACACAAGGGGGGGATTCCTCTCTATTTTGTACAACAATTCAAGAGGCTGGACGAAATGGAATCTTCTCGTCCTGCATTCGAGAGAGTTTGCCGAATAAAACTATCGTCAAGAGGAAAGCACACTTATTGGAACGATGACGACGACTCTGGATCGACTGAGGTACTCAGTAGTAATGAATTCAGGCTTGCGTGACCACTGTAATAAGGTTAACATTGTACCTAACATGAAGACTATGGGCCCGTGAATGGCCTCGCTTCTGTAGTTATGTACAGTGCGCAAACGCTAAATCGAACCGATCCAAGTCCCAGGGGACTAGAATGACACAGCAAGATACCTAGGTAGTTCATGCCTGGGGAGCAAAAGGCCATGTACGAATACCACCCGTACGGCTGATCCTGTCCCAGGTACACCGCTTCCAGCTGTGAAAATCGAATGTCTCTGAGCAGCAGTCTCGAGCAAAACCACTCCCCCTTCCTGGGGAATGTCAACAACCACAGTTCCAGGACTTGCCAATGTACCAAGGCTTGCAGTTGGCTCAGAACAGTGGGACAATGGGCTCGACCCATACCTTGTCAATTCTAAAAAGGTACATCTTCCACGACTTGCAAAACCATGGGGGCAAGTGTATGGTTTGGCCGAGTACGGAGTAGACACGTACTGTGCATGGAACACAGTGCCAAAAAAACAGTGTGTGAAGAGGGCCAAGGCAAAGAAACGCATGGAATGATTCTACCAGAACTTGACTACTCTGCAGTCTACAGCGTAGGGGAAAGTCTTTTTGCGACTATGAAAGCTAACATTGTGGCAGACAAAGAATGCTTCATTGAACTATACATCTTGATGTATCGTAGTGTACTGTAATCTTCTGTAAGAAGCACTGCATCGTATTGGTGTACAATGCAAGTGCTGGTGTCCCATCAAGACCGTAGTGGCCAAAACACGTGGCCGGGTACATCGTTTTTCGTTGTCGTCAATGTACCATACTCGTCTACAGCCTGTGGTAGAATATGTTTGCCCACCAAGAAGTCAAGTCTGTACGCACGAATATACTATAATCTATTATTAGAATGTAAAGCGCGATAACCAGGTACCTGATCTGGTTAGATACCGACTCTTTGCGTCCCATTGTCCTGAAGTAGGTACGGAGGAGCACTACCTACTAGCCAGGTCCCCTGTAAACTTCAGGCCCAGCTTCAGCGAATCATGTTGCGCGTCATCGCTGTTTTGGGTAAAATGCGTTTTGCAAGGCACCACACGTGCAGTATCCACACGTTAAAAGTAACTACCAGTGGAACTCATCCTTTACAGTACGTCATGCTATGCCGACCAACCTTGATTCAGAGTTCTGTCATGCATTAGTTGTATCGCTGCTACGTCCCAGCCTCCTGCCATATGCTTTGCCCTCTTGATTCATGGTTTTACTGCTTATACATGACCATGACTCTCACACGCAGCACCCAAACTGGTCGGGCTCGTCCTTAGAGTATGTAACCACCATTACCCAGACAGCGCCATTCTCGCACACCCATGGCCTCTTCCAGCTCCACGCACCACCATAGAACTTCTTTGGCTTTCTCTGGCTGTCCACTCTCCTCGTGTGCCCGCGCCAGGGCAAACCACGCATCAGAATTGTCCCACCCAGTGCCCAGGCGGGTCAGCCCGGAGAGAAGAGTAAACGCACGCTCTCTGGCAGCAAGTCGATCTGCTAGTGGTAGATGCGTGGCTTTGTACGGTGCGGGCAGCTGGTCCGGCTCGTTCCTAGCAGCAGTATCATCCATCTTCAAGGATGGGACACGGTCGGTGATGGGCGGCCCCAGTCCAAGAGGCGATGAAGGTAGAGTACCCGCAAATATCTCATGATACCCTTGACTGGGTGACTGGAATGATCCCCTCTCATTCTGGTACAACCCGTCTAGAGATGGCATAGTCGAAGGAGGAAGCACCTTTTCGCTGAAAATGTCCAAGAGAATGTTACATAACCCAACAGTAGCCGTAGGGTGGTCAGGTGAGTGCGTGAGGGCTACTTCGAAATCCGATTTGGCTTCGTATGGAAGACCCCTTGCGACGCCCAAGAGGCCGAGCTGGACCCTTTGTTAGTATGCTTGCTGTACATGAGACGCGAGAGTAGTTAGCAAAAATACGTACCTCAGACCAAATGTCACCCCAAAGGTCATCAATGCTCCTCCTCTCAGCCCAGCCAGAAGCGCCTATTGTTGCACCTGTGCTGGAGGGGTCTCTTGCAGCCTCAGACTCAATGCCGGTCAGTAGCTTCTGAGCCTCCAGAACTGCAGCTTTGCCATCGTCCAGCATACCGGCACGACGGTAGAAGCCAGCGATGGTGAGCCAGATCTTGATCAAGAGAGAAATCTTTTGAGCCTTTTCCTTCTCCTTTGGAAATTGCACAAGCGGTAGTACATTAGGCGAAGCATGAGTCACGTCGATTGTCAGTTCCGTGACGTCGGATGACTTAGATGTAGCTGTCATGATGGAGTGCATTGATGAGATAGGCTTGACTCGGCTGGAGGACGTTGGCCGAGCAGCGGGCATCTTATTCAAATTGAAAAAGTCGGGCGATTCACCCTCTGCAGTTGGAGTAAAGAAAGTCTCCCCATCAACCACGGTGGGCTGGTGTGTGACTGCAATGGCCGTCACAGGTCTAGTCCGACTACCACTTCTGTCTCTCTTCTTCAGACTATTCCTTTGTCGCGAGTCACTTCGACGTCCAGGGCCGGTGCTGCCACGTCGTGAGCCATTGACAGTGTCCTTCTCGTCAGTTATCTGGATTGCCGGCGCTGCTATTTGAGAGCTGTGGGATGTTGCAGGTCGTGAGGTAGCCACCCCTGACTTCTCGCTCACGGTACTGATGCTCTGCTGCCTTGCCGGCGATCTCGGTCTGTCCACCTTTGTTCCAAAAATACTCCCGCGAATACTTCGAATGGTGCCCGACGTTTTTGGCGGTAATGAAGGGGCAGGCGAGGCAGCAGTTGGTGCGGCCGAGAGCGTACCAAACAGGCGAGAAAAGAGTGAGAGAAGTTCGTAGCTGGCGTTGACAGCTGCGTCCGGTCCCTCAACTACTTCAACAAGAGCCAGTTGTGTCATCTTCACCTCCAAAATGCTCTCCTTCTCCGAATCATCCATGTCGTCGACCAGACCCCGAACAGGACCGTCCAAAGTTCTGTGAGCATCGAGGTCTTTGAGATGGTCGCTGCGGCAATTTGCATCAGGCTTGCCAAAGAGGATAGTAGAGTCTTTGAATTGGTCCAATGCGCCTTCACAAGCTCTGGCAGCCATGGCGTAGTCCTGTCTGGCACTCAACAACAGAGCCAACAAATGCCACACAGGAATGAGAGTTCTCTCCTGCCAGTATGGCCCATGGTAAAGACTATAGCTTTCCTCATGGCCCTTGTTGCAGAGCAGAGCGGAGCGCACGAGTTCAATGGCAGCCGTAAGCTCGCGCCTCTCAGCGAGCAGAAGAGCAAGACTGAAGAAGCTCCTGATGTCTTTGGAACGACCAAACTCTGCGGCCAAGGACTTACGAAGACAGCGTATAGCTTTGGACTGGATCTCTGTTATCGAGGCTGCTTCATGGGTAATTCTGGACCAGTGAGCGTGAGACAACCCAATCGCCTGCCAAGCCAAGGCAATAATACTTGGTGAAACATGTGCCCTCCACTCGTTTCTTGGTTCATTGTCATCAGTAGGCGGGACACCATTTTCGGCAGACTTTGTGTGTGACAGCTTGGACAACTGGTCTTCGAGTTCGGCCCCGAGCTGGCGGGCCTTCTCTCCTGCTCTTCGGTGGCCGTAACGACACAGAGCCATGACAGCCTGCGCCATGGTTTCTAGCACGATGCCATCATCATCCAAGCTCACTTCTTCATGTCCTGTCTTTTCCACTCGGGCCTTGCCCTTCTTCACAATCTCCAGATATGAGTCAAACGCTTTGAAGGCAAGGTCGAATTCCGCCAAGGCCAGATGGACACTAAACAAAGATCGCAAGATTGAGGTAGAATGGTACGTTCGGGTTGCGGCACTGTATAACGTCTCGAGAACATTACGACTCAATGCGGCTCGGCCACCTGCACCTAGGTCTTGTTCTCGCCAACCCCGGCCGCAAAGAATGGCCCAATTCATCATCACTCGCTTCACAAAGTCTTCAACTTCTTCCCGGTCCTCGTCGGCCCTTGGAAATGCCGTCTCTGTCAGGATAAGCGCTCGATAGGCGGCTTCTGTCTGCTTGATCTCCAGTCGAAGTTGGGCTCGGGCAGGTAGATCAGCTGAGATGGTGTCAACATGACCTCCTGTGTATGGCAGGTCGGTTTCTAAAATGCGAGACAGTGCTTCATAATATTCTGCCCATATCCTTCGCCGGGGAACAGAGCCTTTGAAACCAAACCCGCCAGTGATTGGAGCTCCCATAACATCCCAGTACCTCGCCCAGGCTCGGAAGCTTGCGAGGGAGTTTGGGTCGTCTAGATTCAGCTCTTCGTTCTCTACAGCCTGGCTAGAAAGCATGCAATATTCTGTCAAGAACAATTCGGACCAGTACCGCAACTGCTTCCTCACGCCATGGCCACACCAAACTCCATTCAAAGATGGCGTCCCAGCCCTGAGAGCTGAGAGAGCTTCTTGCCTCTGGTCGTTCCGCATCAAGCAATTAGCTTTCAGATAGGATGACTTGAGGGCACACAGGTTGGTCCATTCAGAAACCGTATCCATTCGTTCCTGCGAGATGCCTTCCGCTTCAAGGCTACCAGGGAGGTTTGCCATGGTGTCGTTGTATTCTCCAACCACCCAGTGCAGCCAGCCCATGCAGACTTTGGCCTGAAATCGATCTTCATGATGATGGTGTTCCTCGTTAACGGCGGCAGCTAGTTTGGGAAACCGGCTTGAAACGTCGAGATCTTGGGCAGTTTGGGCCGCAGAGGGTCGAGCGCCGGCTGCTGTTACTTGAGAGATGGCGCATTCGGTCTCGGCCGCCAATGTGAGGCCTAAAAAGTAGGGCCAAGGTGGCAGGTTAGCTGCTGCACTGCAAGATTTCCAATCGAAAGCGAGGTGGGCTGGGAGAGGTTGGAAGGGTGGAACGTGGTGTTCAAGACATTGACATTGATGGTGATTATGACGTACATTGCCTCTCGGGAGCGTGCTTGCGAACCTTGCGTACCAGCTCCGGCACGGCATCCCAATTTCCCTCGCACCGAGCGCTGTTGAGCTGCTCAATGTAGTTTGCTGCTTTGGGCTAGATGGAAGCATCAATTGACGTTAGCCGTGTTTCATCGCCAGGGCGGCCCAGTGTGTCGAAATGCTCACATTCATATTGCGATGCGGTCAGGGGCTCGGTGACTATCAAAGGGACAACCCCAAAAGGCATCGCAAAGGGTAGAGGAATTCGGGGAAAGGGGCCGTCGAGGAACAGGGCGAGGGACCGCGTTCGCTTGAGGCGTGCAGGAAACGAACGGCCTACGACAGAGCAGGAACAAAGACAAAGAGGCCCGTCGCAGGGGAGGATGGATATGCGCGATGGGAAGTGGACAGCGTAAAGGCGGGATGGCAAAGTGTGGAGGCGGCGTCACAAGCAAAGACGCCTGGCGCGACCTGGCGCATCCGGCAGGAAAGGCCGTAGGCAGGGACGACCCTGCGGCATGATCTCGCTCTTGCCTCAGCGCAGGAGCCTGAACAAGGTAAAGACAGCGTCTTTAGGTGCTGTATGCCGGGGACCAGCAGCCGATCCGGTACCGTCGACCCTGAACATGGCAGCTTCTTTGGTTGCCTCGGACTTGCTCGTGGAAGCTGCGCGTGCGTCTGGCTGGGAAGTTCCAGGCCAATCAGAACCCCATGTGGATCCCCACGAACAAGGCTCCTTCCCACCGGAGCTGGTGGCATTGCCAACTCAACAACGCCAGGGAACGGGGCCCGGCGAAAAAAAGTTCGAGCAGCCGTCCCAACGAGAGGCTGGCGATTGACAAGCTGACAGTCGCCGTTCACAACGCCAATTGACCGACTTACCTATTCTTCGCCATAGTGAGGATCCCTAGCTTGCCATACTCCAATAGGTTGGGTTTGCGATCTCACCCTTGTCCCCAGGCCTGGAGCGTTGGACCCTCCTGACTCTGCGGCTCGTTACTTGCAGATCAAGAACACCACTCATGTCATCTCATCTCGTCTTATGCCAACAGACCGTACTGCCGCCCATATTTCAACACGTGAAAGCCGCCACCAGGCGATTAGCCATCAGCATCGTCGACTCTCAGCCATGGCTCCGTCACCCCCCGCGGATCTACAGGTGCTCTGCAAAAAACTTACATCCATACCACAGGCCCAACTCCCACAGGCCCTCCCTCTGCTCACAAGACACATTCTTCGCTGCAAAGACACGCTGGCTGCTCCACAGGAGCAGAAATCTAAAGATGACGGCTCTCAAAGCGCGCAGCTTGTTCACAAGTTGAGAACCAGCATCACGACCCTGTTAAAAGGACGGGATCGCGAGGCTCGATTTGCTGCCATTGGCCTCGTCAAGGCCATTATTGATGTAGGAGGATGGGAAATGCTCCGAGTTTCTGAACCCTGGGTTGCCGGGCTGTTGTCTATTGTTCAGGTAACTCATTCCATCGGAAACACCACCTGTTGATTATGCCTGGTGACTAACTTTATTTACAGAAAGGTGACTCGTTCCCAACAAAGGACTTGGCTGTTGCAACATTAGCACGCATCTACATACTAGTTCAGCCATATCAAACTCTAGTTCGGGAAATTGCAACCCGCACAATTCCGACCTTCATTACGGCATGTCTGCAATTCATCAAGCCCCGAAGTACGGGTCAAGACCCATCTGCTCCTCTGAGCGTTGTTGAGACAATTTGCGATGCTTTCTCAACCCTCATTCCTATATACGCTACCACTTTCCGGCCATTCAGCTCCCAAATACGCTCAGCCGTCAGAGGTTACTTGGCGCCAACGCTTTCGGATGACTTGCTTATCCCCCTGTCCTTGCAGCGAGCAGCCCGAAAAGTCGTCATCTCACTTCACTGTGTGGCAGCCAAATCAGGTGGGAGTGAAGAGTGGGCTAAAATCGTTGATAGCCTGCTTCGAGAGTTACATGCTACCGCAGATCAAGTTCTCCGGGCTGTTGATGAATCCTGGGAGGGCACCTCAGGATACAACCGAAAACGTGTTAACCCCGAGGGTGAATCAAGCGGAGGCAGCAATTCAGGAGATCAATTGCCGCCTTGGTCTGGGTTGAGCTCAGGAGCGGAGCGTCTAGTAGGCATTTATGCGTATCTTTCTGATTGTCTACGCTATCCCACAAAGGCCCCCGTTGTTATACCCGTCGGTGCTCTCCTAGATGCAATTTCAAGAGTCTGTCTTATCGCAAGACAGTCACCCAAAAGTCAAACTTGGGACCAGGCCGTGGAAACAAATGCAGCCATCGGCCGAGAGGAGAAGGCAGAACTTTGGGCCGCCATTCCAGACATTCACATGTCGGCCCTAGCATTGATTTCCGTCATGTTGCAAAGGTTCCGTCAAGGTATGATTCCTCTTGTTCCCGAAGTGCTGGACCATCTGGTTCGGGTCTTCAAGTCTGGAATATCCAACCCAGCAGTACGAATGACGGGCTACAGGCTCTTGAATAACGTCCTACCTCTTGCGGGACCGACAATGTCGAGAGCAACGGTGAGTGTTCTGGAGCCTCTTGTCGCTGCATGCTGTCGCGATTTGCAGGAAGATGCTGGATTCCTCAAAGCCATCCCCAAAGCAGCCACTACTTCAAAAAACGACTCTAAAAAGAGCGGTCTTGCCAATGCAGATCTGTTTCTGCAGCCACAAGCCTCCTCCGTTGAGACGTCAGTACACCTGGACGCCGCCCACAAGGGTGCTGCTGATGACTTGCTCGTCGCTTTCTTGTCAAGCCTGCCCCAGCATCACTTGAAACCCACGCTCCGCGGTCTCCTCGACAAGACAGCCATCCTCACGCAAAACCGCGATGCCATGCTATCGAGTGTTCTCAACCCGTATAAGGACCAGCGCGGGCGCATGTACCCCAGCATCTTGCCGCATTTATCACAACAGTACCCACAAGATCAAGGCGTCGAGATTCTGCGCAGCAACCTTCGCACATCAAGCGTTCCAGGAAGCATCGACCTTGTAGCATCAGTCACCGAGGTTGAGCAAGAGCAGCAGCAAGACGAGGAAGAAGAACAAATGGGCGGCGACGATGAGCCAATCAACGAAGAGGCGCGTGCGACCGAGTATCTCCAGGACATGGTCAAGCCTGCGGTACCAAAGGTCGATCTCCCCATCCAGAGCAACCCATTTGAAGCCAAGGCCACAGCATCCAATGGATTCAATGTAGCCACAGTTACGAGACACGATTCAGTCACCAAGCGCAAACACGAAGATGCAGACACCGCACCGTCGAAACGGCAGGAAGTCAACAAGTCTGCTCCTGCAAATTTGTCAGAACCAGTTCCTGCTGCTGAAGACGACGACGACGACAGTGACAGTGATTTAAGCGTCCACTTGAATATGGAACTAGATGACGATGAAGAGGAGGAAGATGAATAAAAACAATTCACACAGCAACCATTGGCGTACGGGGGAAAAGGGGGGGAGTGTTTGCATATAGAAGTGGCCAGGCCACGATTTGGATTCCCAAGGATATCAAAAAAGTTTATGTCAAGTATTCATAGAACAAGGGCCAAGCTCATCGTTCCCGGGTGACAAGCAGGGCCAAAATCCAATTCTCTATACCCCAATTGAAAATAAGTCAAACATGCCCGACAGTCCGCTCGTGTGCTCAGATAAGGCATAGAAATAACCCAAAACGCCCGCCAAGAGATCGCCAAACGCCTTCGAACCCTTTACAACAGCAAGACGCACCGGGTAATCAATCTCGTAACCAAGCCCGCCTCTTCTCCTCCTTCCTTGCTCTCCTCTTCTCCTTGAACGCCTTCAACTCCGACTTACTGATACGCTTATTGGCCCTCTCCGCCTTCAAGCTACGCCCATCGTCGGCATTCGCAGCCGCATCTACGTCGAAGAAGGCATTCATCTGCCGCCGAGACTTGGCCTCGTCCGTGTGGCGCCCCGGCCCCATGTCTTCATGCTGGAATTGGCCTGTGAAGCGGTTGAAGGCTGCGGCGGAGGTGTATCCGTCGTCGAGGCTTGGGACTTCAAGCGGGCCAGAGGGCTCGTCTGGCTGGTTGTACTTTTGGGCGTACCATGCGTTGGGGTCGTAGTCGCCGTGGATGGCGGGGTTGTAGCCGCTCACTGGGGGCAGTTCCCCTGGCGGTTGGGGAGCTGCGGCTTGAGACGTGGCCGCAGGGTCATTCGCGGAGGAGGAGGAGGAGGCGATGCGCGGGTTGTCCCACTGCGTCTTGCCGGTGAAGCGGTTGTGGAAGAACCACGCCTGGGTGTTGGGGTCCCATTGGCAGTCCCAGCCGTCGTCGTCGCCTGAAGGGGGTGGTTCCTGGGGCAGTGGTGGACCGTCATGGCCTGGCTCTTCTGTGGCGTGGCTCGCAGAGCTTTCGTCTATTTCGCCTTCTTCTTCTTCTTCGTCGTGGGAGTTGGCGTCCTCTACGTTTGGGTCGGGATTGGCTGGCGCGGCGTCCTGGGAGACGGGTTCCACGACGTCCTGCGCGCTGGCCGGGCGGGCTGGCGATTTGGACCTGGTCTCTTCCGCGGCTGCGCGCTCTGGCGACGACGGAGCACTCATGGCTATGGGGCGAGGGAAGGACAGTCTATCCGGCCTGGGAATCTGTCTTCTACAATGGTGAGCATCCCGGAGAGCGAGCGTTTGTCATGATACGTTTATGGACCTGAGACTTAGCAAATCGGTTTCGGGATGTCTAGCAAAATGTTGGGGTCGCGGATTGACCGTGAGTGGTGGGTTCTTCCCCAGGTAATAATGCGCAGTTTATTTGCGATCTGTAAATCAGGCGGGTATAATGTCAATGGTGGTGTGAGGTTACGAGTCGCAAATTGGAGACGAGGTGCTAAGCTTAGCTGAACAGGCCTTGCCGGCTGCGGAAAAAATTGGGTCCGGTCAGACGTCATTCCCTCCTGGTGCTACGGATTCGAGACGAGATGCGTCATTTCATTAATTGAAGGCAAAATAACACATGGCGTCAATTCAGTCTGTACAAAGTACAGAAATCACCATCTCATGGAAAATCACGGCATCCAGTGATGTAAGCATGGTTGATCTCAATGAAGCACACGGAGGCGCCGCTGCGGGCAGGCCGCGTCGGATTCTCAGCTCTATTCGCGGTTGCGCTTTTCTGGCATCAAGATCAATGAGATGAGTTCTTGACTGGAGGGGAGTGTCCCGGCGACTCCATTCATCAAGTAGGCCATCAGCTGCGCCCGCCAACGACGTGAAGCCCAGTGGCTTTCAATGGGAAAGAGAGTGTGACCCGTGCGTGCTCTGTGCTTGTGTAACAATAACAAAAAGCAAACCTCCCGTTACCATCCACGTCAACTGCTCCAGGGGTCTGAGAGCGAGCATCAAGATACAAGTCACAATGCGCCGCCCTACAGCCCTGCTCAGCACATGCCTCTCTGCCTTCACCCTCATCCACGCCGTCGAAATCGTCTCCGACTCCTCGTGCGACTGCTTCCTCACCAACGGCACTCAAGCGACCTACTTTGCAAACCACCTCTTCTTCGACTTCCGCAACCTCAAGGACTACGCATCCGTCCCAAGCGTCATCAGCGACCCCGAAGATACGCCCAACGCGCCACCCACAAGCGACTACTTCAAATCGGAAGCCTGGACAAAGACGTGGGCACTGCAAACATGGGCCAATTCCAAGCGCAACGGCAACGGCTTCTCGGGCGACGCGACGGTCCTCATGGTCAACTCGCCCAATAACGTGTTCATTGAGCAAAATAAAGACGCGTCAGCTTCATCGGCAACCTACCTAACCATGCGGACGGCGCGGCTGTCCAATTTCCAAACTGCAGCCGAGTTCCAGACCCAGACCTCCGACTACCACTACCTCTCGTTGCGTATGCTCGCCAGAACAGTCGGCCCGCCGGGGGCCGTGTCCGCCGTCTTCACATACCGCGATGCCAATAAGCTCGCGGATATCCAGGAGGCCGACATGGAGATTGTAACGCGCGGGCCCGGGGACAAAGTGCAGTACACCAACCAGCCGGGGTACACAGACAACGGCGACGGCATCAAGGCCAACGCGACGAGGAATGCCACGCTGCCCCGTGGGTTGCAGTGGTCGGACTGGGCGGTATACCGACTGGACTGGACGCCGACGAGGAGCGTCTGGTACGTCGACGGCGAGGAGGTTGCCAACATCGCGTACCAGGTGCCCCGGGATCCGGCGGCCATCAACCTCAACGCGTGGGGGGACGGGGGCAGCTGGAGCGGGAATATGAGTGTTGGCGCGGAATCCAACCTGCAGCTTCAGTGGATTGAGATGGTGTACAACACGACCGAGGACAGTCAGCGTTCACGACGGAAGCGCCGCGGGGCTGCGGCGCAGCTGCTGACGAGAGGCGGCAAGGCCACGCTCTGCGGTGCGGTGTGTAGCATCGACGAGGGCTCCCAGGCCGGAGCCGTCGCCAAGCTCTGGGGCGTGAAGAGCTCATCTGTTAGGACGGCGGCGTCGTCGTGCTCTCTCCTGGCAGTGGCTTGGTTTTGCCTGGCGTTGGGTGTTTTTGCATGATGCCGCAGGAGACATGTACTATTTGAAAACGAGATGGTAGACACGCAGGTGCGAATCCGCATTTACAGAGTCACTTGGTGTTGTCGTTGTAAAGCTCCGTCAAGTCCCATGTGTAGATCGTGCTGCAACTTGTTTCGGCAACATGTGTATATCGCAGACCGCTTTGTCATCTCCCCCATCGTTTTCCACCGTACCGGTGAATTAGCCAGTTGAGAAGAGCGTCAGACGAAAAAAAAAAGGACAGAAGCCAAATGACTCCTTTCCTGCAGGTGTGAATAGCTTCCCTGACTCGGCGCCCAGAAGCACAAGGTAACACGACATGACCATCCTTTCCCGGCCCTCTGGGCCTCAAGGGGGTTGCGCCGTGTAACTCTGCTCTCAAGTCCTCGGTTTCCAATCGAGCACCCCCGTCGCTTGGCAATTCGAGCCCACGGCCTCGCCTTTCCAGCCCGCCAGCCTCCAAGATCGACCGCACCTGCAGCAGGGTAACACCGAGTGTCTCGACAGGTCGGATGGGCCGCCGTCTGTGAAACCGGGAGAATTAAGCATACACGCACGGCCAATGAGTTTGTGCGACTCCCCACGCACAAAAATTGCTACCCCGGGTGTGACAACGCCTCACGTTTAATTGCTTTTTTGGTAAACGCCGACTACGGCCCATCAAACTGCTTCAATTTTTGCCAACAAACTCGCCTTTCGCCTCGCCCGTCCCCAAACAAAGCCCGAGCGAAGCAGAGATGACGGGGCCTCCAACACCCCGAATCCACCACTACCCTATACTCTCCCCACAAACTCCCACTTGACACCCCTTGCCCGTCCCGTCACGAGTGGCGCCCACACCGCGGCCAGAGACTAAAGACCCGCTTTCCCCAGCTCCTCGTCGCCGTTTGTTCCCCCCAAAACCCACCCCTTCACATCGTCGTCCGTCAGCCCAGTTGTCCTCGTGATCTGAGAAATTTCCCTTAGCCCACACGGACCTGAGACATGCCACACTTATGCTCTCCACATCATCCGCACATCGACTAGATAGGAAACAGCCAAACAAGACAGCAACTGAGGGAGGAGGAGGAGGAGGAAAAATAACCGCTTGTGCAAAAACAACAATTAATGTACAAAGGATGGACGGCGAAATGACCGACCGCGTGAAAGCGCTCCTCCAATGATATGATAATAAACCTGACCCAATAGTATATCCATGACCCGACAAGCGCATTCGCTCTGCGTACGCTCAACAACATCAGATACTCATGCAAACACGCTGAAAGGGCTATTTTGCGAAGTGAATGAGAACTAGACCGTAACTTTAGCCGCAATAATCAAAATGTAGACAAATCGTACTTTTTTTTGGGTCCACGTTGGTTCCAAGTTACTCCCACAGCACTTTCTCCCATGCCCCCAAACGCCAATAAATAACGAAAACAAGTAAAAGCACACATCACTTTTGATTATCCCGTTGCCTTGGACCCCGTGTTTTGTTTTATTAAAAAGGCTTTTTTCATAATCCGTCTTGTTAGGAGCAGCGAACCGCTGGGTATCTTTGGTTAGAACTCGTCCATCGCGATAAAAAGACCACATTGCCGAAAGTTGCCTGGAAGGAGCGCAGACATCACGCCATCAGAAATTGTTGGCGAAGTTGGACACAACAACACACTTGGCCAAGCAAAAATAACTTTTTATAAAAAAAGACGGGTACTTGTAATAGCATCGGCGCAGCCAAATATAAAAAATAATAATAAATGGTCGTAACAAAAAACATTCGTTCCAAGGTTTAGGCAAAATGCTCATGTCTTTCAGCATCTCAGCTAGAGCAAAGGCTTGCGTGTTTCCGCGCAGGTCGTTGTTGACACCTATACGGTAGAACCTTGTACTCCGCATGGAGCACGCATCTGATACTTGCTTGCTTTGCAGCGGAGTAGCGGTTGACACCATATTTCGAATGCCCGGCGTTCCAACCGGGGTTTTGTGCATTGTGTACTGGCCAAAGCGTCGTGTCCATGATGGACCAAGCACATCGTTTGCCAGGAGCGTGGCGGTTCGTAAGGGATTGTTGACCACAGCGAAGCGTACCCTGTGACTGTAGTATTTGATTATATGACAAGAGTTGCAGTGCATGGGAATTTCCCGCCCAGCTAGCTGGGAGAGGACATATTCGCAGAGAAAAATTTCGTGGATAAAACTGCAACTCGTCGTCCATTGCGTGGGACACACGCCCCTCACCGCAAGCTGGATTGGTCAAAGGGGAATTGCTGGTTAGGGAAAGCCATGCTGGCGCTCAGACCAAACGGATCCCAGTCCAGGTTCTGGTGGTCGAGCAGCTGGGTCATGGATGGGAAGTGGTGGTTAGACAGCGACGCCTGGTGTCCCCCTTGCTCGTGATGCGCAGGGCCAGTAGAAGTGGGAGAGAGGAGCATCGGCTGGGTTGTGTCGCTGTTGAAGGCGCCCCCAAAACTGCCGTGTCCACTGGGAGTTTCTATTTCAGAGTCGTCCACCATGTCTGCTCGGCTGTCATAATCGTGGTCTGTTTACATTAGCAAAAGACAAAAAATAGTAATACATAGACGGTACTGTCGACGCAAAGATGGAAAGATGGAAACTCACCAGCTTGCTCAACGTGGTTTTGGAATGCCGGCGTAGGATAGTAAGAGGCGCCTGTGCCAGCGACACTTCGGGGCGTGGCAACCTGAAGCACCGTGCTTCTGGATGGCTGAGTAGTACCTCCTAGTGAGAGATGCTGGCGGGTAAGCCCTGAGATAGAGCCTCGCATGGAAATGCTGTCTGATGGAGCGGGGGAGAAGGTCGAGGCAGCATTATTGGGAGAGTTGGAGTGAGATGACGGCGTAGGACGGTTCTTTGGGGAGGTGGCAGACTTGGGAGCTTGCATGGCAGAACCAACAGCTCCAGACCCTGGCTCAAGCTTCGGGGCAATGCTGGAGTTTGACTTGCGGTTGTGGTGTTGTCGATTCATGATGGGTCTCTGAATTGGAGGCGGCTGCACTATGTTTTGAGGGACATGCGCAGGCCCCAGGTTAGG